ATATTATCTATTATACAAGATATCACTCGAAGAGCTCCAAACTATTAAAACCTATATCGAAGATAACTTACAAAAAAGATTTATAGTCTCTAGCCGAGTTTTCTTTATCTTTTTTATCTTAATAGCATAAAAACAGGATAACAGTCTCTATTTTTATATTAATTATTATAAATTAAACAAGATTACAAAGAAAGACAGATACTCTCTCTTATTAATCAACGAATTATTATATTAATTATACTATATAAAATATTTTACAAAACTCGATATCTAACAAAGATTTTATTAAATACAGATATATCCTAACTCCAAGGATAAGACTACTTTTTATAGTTATTATAGCATATTCAAATATTAAGTACTTTCTTTTAGTCTTATAAATAACCCTGCTATCTTTTAACGCTACATAAACAAGACCTTGTCAGACTACTTAAACAACTTTATTATAATTTTTGTAAATAATATACTTATTTATAATAAGACCCTCCAAGAGTACTACTTATAAATTTATAAAATCCTAGCCCAACTACAAGAGATAAGACTTTAAGCCGCTATTTATAAATACAAATTCGACATTACAACTACAAAGTTCCTAGGATTTATCATAAAAACTAACAACATACAGACTAATCCCGAGAAGATCGAGACTATAACCCACTAGAAATATCTAGAGACTAAACAGAAAATTAGATCGTTCCTTAGATTTTGCAAATTCTATCAAAAGTTTATCCATCACTTTAACAAGATAGCCTATTTATTACACCAACTAACAAAAGATACAGTCAAATTTAAGTAGATCTTAGAGTACTAATATACATTCTAAGAGTTAAAGAAACAGCTAACCAAGACACCTATATTACAACACTATAATCTAAGCTTTTTAATACAGATCAAGATTAATATCTCTAATAATATATACAAAACAACTCTATTACAACTACAATCCAACAAATAATATTTAGTAGCCTACTTCTCGAAGACTATAGATTAAACAAAGTCATCTTATCTTATCTACAACAAGAAAATACTAGCTATCATTTTAGTATTTAAAGAATAATATTCCGAACTAACCAGCCTCCAACAAAAAGACCGCTTCGAGATACTAATTAACTATAAGACCCTAAAGTATTTTAACACAAAATAACAATTAAATATAAGATAAGCCCAATAAATAAAGAAAATTACAGATTATTATTTTGTTATTTAATACTAATTAGGACAGCAAAATAAGGTTGCTGATATATTATCTCAAAAAAAACAGGGTAAATCTATCATAGAAATATAATTTCTATCCAACAATAACTACAAAAATAAGCTGTTAACTATTATATACACCAATTTATAGACTATAATTAAACAAATTAAGCAGATAAACTAACTACAAAACAATCTATATAAATATCAAGTTAAAGAAGGACTTACCCTCAAAGATAGAAAACTTATCATGCCTGATATTAACTAGCTACAAACTAAGCTATTAGACGAAATCTATAGATAGCTATCTATATACTACCCAAGACAAGATCGAACCTTATAATTACTACAAGATCGATTCTATTAGGACCAGATATACCAAGATATATAACAATATATTGATAATTGTTAAATCTATAAATAAACAAAAATTTAGAAAGATAAAACCTCTAGTCTACTACAGCCGCTAGAAGCTCTAAATAAGTTATAGTTATATATCACAATCGATTTTTATAATCTTCTAAAAAATTATCGAGGCTTCAATGCTGTTATAGTAATAGTTAACCGATTTACCAAGAGACCAATATTCATTTTATATTATAAGAAAATTAACGCTGCTAAGATGGTATATCTATTCGCTAATCACATATACTTTTATACAGGACTTTTTAACTTAATTATATCCGATCGAGGACTATAGTTTATCTCAGAATTCTGGGGAGGTTTCTATAAAATCCTACAGATTTCGAGAAAGTTTTTATCTATTTATTACTAACAGACCAACAGCTAAACCAAGATCACAAACTAATATCTATAACAACATCTCCAACCTTATATAAACTACTACTAAGACAACTAGTCAGACTAGATCAGATTAACAGATTTCGCTACTATAGCACTATTTTAAGTATCTACTAAAATATCTCCTTTCTACACCAAGAAAGGATATAAACTACATCTCTTATTCGACTAACAAACTACAACATCTCCCAATAACCGATCCTTCGCTTAACAAATACAAGATATCTAGATATATATATAACAACAAATATAATAGAGCTAAAACATTTAAAAACAGTAGATAGACTGTTATAAAAGAGAGCCCGACTTCATAATTAAAGACTAAGTTTATATAACAACTCGAAATTAGCTAGTAAGACAGCCGAGTCACAAACTCGCAAACCTCACAACAAGACTATATAAGATACTAGAGAAGATAGGACATTTATTCCGACTTAAACTACCAAGATCTACCTAAATCTACAACATCTTCCTACCAGACCAACTACACAAGACCACGAAACTAGAACTACTACCGGGATAAATCAAAGATCCAGCACTATCCTTAATTGTTGACAGAGAAAAGGAATAAGAAGTTAACCAAGTACTCGATTCTTATTTATACTACCAGAAACTCCAGTACAAAGTTAAATAAAAAAACTATAAAGACAACAATAACAACGAATAGTATCCAGCCGCTAATTTCGCAAACTTACTGTTATTATTATAGGACTTCTACCATCGATATCTAAATAAAACAGGGCCGCTACTACAATTAAACAACTGGTTAAAGTATATAATACAGCCCAAACTATCGACTTAGGGACAAGTCGAGTCTCAGCAAGGAGATATCAGCCGTTAGCCGATTCTGCCATTATATACCGCCCTAGGAGTCGACAAGGTCTGTCTAAACTACAAGACTAGTAAAGATAGGACGGAGGATCGCGTTAGAGTTGGGTATTAGATCGGTCGTCGTAGCTTCTCCTTCTTCTCCTTCTTCTCTTCTCTCCTTAGCTTTAGTATTCCAAATTAAAACGCCGTTGTTGCCATGTTCCAACTCCGCTTAGGTTTCCCCTTGACAATATATTATATAGATAAATACTTAGTAATATTATTTAATTATCTATCCCGACTTTTAAAATACTATATAGATAGTAAACTATTATTAGACTTAGCCGATTCCGAAATATTAGTAAGTCTTTCTAGAATTATTAAAACTTAAAGTAGTCTTAGTCTAGATAGATAAAATCAAGAAGGGAAGTTCTGTCTTTCTATATAAACTTATATCAGATATATTATTATAGAGATATCTAAGAAGATACTTGACTATAAATATTATCTATTAATAGATTAAATTATTATTAATCTAAAATAAGAATTTAATCTTGTTTATCTCTTTAATATATATAAATTAATAATAAGTCTAGAAATATTCTCGATTATAACCGAGTTATATAGGAGTCTTTATTATCCTATCTTTATTATAATATATAATACTAGATCTCAGAAATCTATCTTTAAATCTGTTTTATACTAGTTATAATCTCTATAGATTTTCTATATTATAAATTTCAGATATTTTAGATCCTTGAGCAAAATAACATATAGTCGAGATAAGGATTACTCGAAATATCTTTAAAGATGATTATATAAATAGAAGAATTAGGCTCTTTTTGTAGAAAGACGATATATCTTCACCAAAGATTCTTATATATTGTATATTGAATATTCTATATTATTCTCAAATCTAACAGTAAAGGTAATATTGATCATAGATTCTATATTATAGCCTATCCCCTACAATTATCCTAACCAAAGTTGTACACGAGTTAACTAGAGATAGATCTTTTGCGTCAGGTTTCCTAGCAGAGCTTATCCGATCTAGGCTTGTACAGGCTCTATATGTTTTCGTCTCCCAGTTAGAGAGTATTAGTGGGTCCGGTGAGCCAAACCACGAAATTTGTACTCAGACATCTAAAGCAATCCACAGAACACTAGCCGAATTGCTCAATTCTCCACCAAGCTCTGTTGGTGTCACTCGTGCTAGTCCCACCACTTTTACAACCTTAGATACGTTGAATCCGAGTATGATTCTTCCGGGTTTGTTTGATGCCGATATGTGGGACGGACTTGGTCATTTCGACTATACAAGTACTTGAACGGGAAGACATGTGAAGTGTACACTTCGGGTTATATAAGATCCTAAGCATGACCGACTCTCGCACCAAATGGTATCCGAGCACCGACCCCCTCGTTTCTCCGCCTTAGAGTGGCAAGCGTGTTGCTAGGGTAAAGTTCACACTATCTTCAGCCATGCCATCCTTGCGTTACGGGCCTTCAAAGGTTTCTCCCAGTATAAGCCATTATTATCTGAACGCAAATTGGCTTTATTTGTTACACCATTCGTCATGTGGCGCAGGCGATAGATACGATAGATACGCAACCTTCAGTAGCCGCCCAGTAGTTCTCCCTGGAAAACCAAACAGATGATCGGGCAGATGCGACCAAATCTAAATTCAAAATCTAGCAAGTGTGCTCTAAGCGCTCGCCTATACCTGTTGACTTCCCAAAAAATTGCGACACAGACGCGACGCGTGTTTAGGGGTCCGTCTTTGAGAGAACGGTCAATTACATATATCGTCGGCCAATGCATGCTTCGGGGAGGGTTAGGCTTTCCTTCCTCTACGGCTAGTAGTCCCAGAAAGCCGCATGGTCGAAGCAAACTGGCATATAGAGACCCTCATTACCCACCGCCGAAAGCCTCGCAGATCAACACTTCGAAAACATAGAAAGGGATCTTCATCTGGTGTATCATATGGACAGGGCCGAAGCAACTGAATGCAATTGCTCTAATCTTAAGTTCCTCTGACTGAAACGCATTTCATTAGAACGAATTGGGACTGTCAAATTGAACATCTAAACAAAAGGTCTTCTGTAAGTAGCGTGTGCTCTCAAGAAGACATATCACGAGAGAAGCAGTCAAATGCTCGACGATCAAGTGGGGTTGATCATCAGACACTGTGCATTTACGTGTACATCGCCATAACAGAGCTCTGGCTACCAAACTCAGTAGAAAATCTCTCGTTCGACTCAGCAGCTTGCTCGACGTATTTAAAGCTGACACGACTAGTCTCCGCCTGTGCGAGAGCATGTGCGATCGCGACAATGTTCTTGATCTGATATAGGACGGTCAGTCAGAAAACTAGGACCTAGATGTTGGGACACCCACCTCTCGGCCATTCAGATCTTTAGACGCTAATAGCTGGAGCTCATCCTCCTGAACATCAGCAGGTCCCTGGAAAGTAAGGGCTTTTGACAGAAAGGTGCTCCAAAGGTCTCGGCGAGACTCTTTCGATAATCCTTCGAACTGAATCTCCATATGAAGCCTGCTCCGAATTGCATCGTCAAAATCAATACCCCGATTCGAAGTAATGAAAAGAATGCCTGGATAATATTCCAGCTTGCGCAGAAAAACAGTGACCAGGCGATTATGGCTATCGTGGAGGCTGGTGCGTTTTGCCAGGAAGGCATCGCCTTCATCTAGAAGAAGGATCGCCTGGAAGTGCTCCGCAATCTTGAAAATCACCTCAAGTTGGGATTCAAGCGCATGAGCGTCGCCATGGTCGACCACAAGTTCACCCGCAGATATCTGAGCAGATTAGTCAGGCACAGATAATTCTATGCGCGGTGGAAATATCCATACCGAATAGAGGGGTTTCTTGAAACGCTCTGAGGCTGCCTCGACGGTGAAAGTCTTTCCAACGCCCGGGGACCCACTAGCAAAAGTTATTTTGGCGTCCTTCGTACTAAAATTTTCATCTGCTGACGTACTTGAGGAGGATATTGAGCCCCTGGCCTTTCCCATTCACCATATCGTCAAACGGCATGGTCGGTATCAGACCAAGGCAGCTTTGAATGAGCGATGAGACCATCCCCTTTTTTCTCTATGGGGATCTTTAAAGCGTCGAATGCCTCTGGGGACCAGATCACGTCGCTTAGTCCGCTGACTGCACACTCCACTGGTTCCGAGTCAGTTGGACATCAAACGATCGGCAGTGATCTGACTTACAAAACATTTTCTCCATGAAACTGAAGCAGCATACTGTTGGGCATGCGACCAAGAGATCAGTTTCGCTCAGTAATTGCCCATCTACTTCCTCTCCCCGCATCCTCTCCTTTTCTCGCTCTTGTCTCTCCAAGAAATCGGCAACTGGATCAAAGTTAGGGAGGCCGTCTATTTCCTTAACCGCTGTAGCACGGAGAGACGGCCTGGAGTAATTTGGCTGCATTTCATGAAAAAATTTAGCGTCCACGCCCACTCGACTGTTGATATTGACTCTGATGGCTTTCCCTTTGTTCAGAAAGAACGCGCTGCCTTTACAGTCTCGAATGTGCCTGCCGGCCAGATCTCGAAACTTTTGGCCTCTCTTGACTAATGTGTCCCTCATTTGCTTGTGGCTGGGATGATGGCATAAGGGGAAGGCTTCCAGGGTCTCAATTGGCTTTGATCCTCGGAACTTTCGCACCCGCGGAAAGATTCCAGCCACACCAAATCTCACCCCATTATAATCGAGGAACCAGCATTCGAGATTGAACCATGTTTCATCCTCGTGTGTTCTCTCTTCCCCCGCATCAAATATGACACAACGAGGCTCCTTTGTGCCAAGACATGTGGTATAAACCGGGCAGCCAGGTTTGAAAAGAGCCCAAAGAAGGTCATAAGTAATATGGCCGTGCGGCAACATCGAATTGAGTCGCTGCGAAACAGAAGTATATGTCTGCTTGATGTGGTCGATGAGCAAACAGAGTTGCGGATATGAAAATTTGCATTCTGTCCTGTTGTTGATATTGTGTGCGTACTTTTCCAACTCTGGAAGGAAATGAAAGAGATGGTTTTGCTCGATCTAAACTTGAGTTAGTGAATCAAACCTCCTGGGGTTATTTGTCTTATGATTACCGATGGCTTGTCTTCCATCAAGCTAATAGCGTTGATGCCGTGCAGTACCACCCGCAAAATATCGCGCAGACTTTCCGATTTGACGTCTATGTACGCCCTTATCTCTTCAGAATTCCGTTCTAGTCATATAATGAGCACTGCTATTGCCTGTCGAGTAAATTTATAACCTACCAACACGTTCGCGCACAACAAATGCATATTCAGCATAGTCGTCGGAATCACTGCTAGTCGCTACCGGCTCTGCTATCGTATATCTGCTTGCTTCTTTGTCCCATCTAGGTCATTTCAGCTTCCATGAGAGCAAAATGAAATGTTTGTCAATGGCGCATACGTTTCCAAGATCTTCTTGAATTTAGGTGTCGATGCCCAGCTCCTGAACGATTCGAAATCACCTAGTGTTGTGTGGATCGGAGACTTGAGGTCAGTCTTATCGACCACCTGAGACTCCTTCTCCGGCACATTGCTACCGGAGAAAGACTGATCAGGTTCAGTCGCTGCAGCAGGTCTGGCTGACGCGTATTTATCGCGGACGAGCTTCACCAACGACTTCTTCAACTCATCCATGTCGAGAGCTGAATTGGAATGGTTCTGTAGGACAGGAGTGTTTGGAGGATCCTGAGTAGTAAGATCATACAGCGCATCTTTAAAGAGATGCTTGAGGCTTTCCACGGTAGCTTGAGTCGAGCCTGATGCTGGGCTGCCTGGGGGGCCAAGAGCCTTGGGAACAGGAAGAGGCCGATGCGTTTGCAATATTCAATGCCATGGTAAGCAACTGAAAGTCCGAGAAGATGTCGATGCAGTACGAGAAGCTTGTATGTATTGTTTGCAGATACTGGAATCAATGATCACAGGAAAGGTTGACAAGAGCCCAAAAAATAGCTCTTATATATTTCGATCGTGTAGCTGATTCTCAGTTGTAGCAATTTGGACCATGACGCATGGCCCATCACGTCGAATTCAATTGGTCGCTTTCAGTTTGGTGGTGATGGTGAAGTTCAAGTTGAAGTGCGGAGACGGTGAATGCTCCACTTATTTCCTATTCAGGGACAAGCACGATGTCGTGACCTGTTCCCTAGTGGGAAATGAACCAGGAACGTGCTTCATCTAAATAAGGAAGGGACACATATTAGTGTTGCACCCGAATGGGGAATGGTTGCTGAAGAACATTCGATGACGATATCCCGGAGCGGGTATAGTATATTCCGCATCCCACGCAATAGCCCCTCTTCCGTTGCAGGTCATCTGTTGACGAAACGCAAGGAACCATTCATGTTGAACATATGGCGAATACTGGCTCAGCGTTGCATGGAACCCTGATAGGTGACCTTCCCACTGATGGGTTCATATACAGTGAGGACGCGGAAGCGGGGCGCCGCGTTGAAGAGATGGAGGAAAAAGCCGTACCTTTCGCATCTGAGGCAGGGTTACAATTCTACAAGATCAATGTTCTGGATGATCCAGTAAGTATTCAAACGAGAATCCAATGTGATGAACTTTTGCCTCCTTCAGTGGATGCTTACTTTCTCCAGAATAAGCGCCGGATACTCGATTCATGCTTCCCGTGGTTTGGTCTGGGACTCTACCGTACCTTTGGTGCAATGAACGGCGACTATGCCTTCCGGCAAAGCGATCCATACTCGAAAACCGAATCAGTCTTAATCCAATTCTGGAGGAAGGGATCGAAAGTCACTTTTTGGAGAGGCTCGCATCTTGAACAAGTGGTTACCATGAAAGGAGAGAATAATTTGTGGAGGACTCCTCGAGTGGCCCTCACAAAACTTGGTCTGAAGCCTGTTGAAATACATTTCGAAAAACGGTGGATTGTACGTGATATTGTAATTTCATTAAGACACATTCTAATGTCACTATCCAGTTCAATTCGTGATACTCGTCTCTTCGTGGAAGTCTCGACAGGAAGCGCTATCACATTCGGCATTGCCGCGGAGGACGTGTTGAAGAAATGGTGGACACCAATGAAGCTTCCAATATCACTTCAGACAGTAGTTAGCGACATGAACGGTCCTAAGTTCGGTATGAACGTCGCTTATTTCGATGACGGTCACCACGAACAACCACGCAGTGCTAGCTTGCCATCCGATTTCAAATCAACTCCTACTCGAACACTGAAGTGACCTCGCGTCATCCACGGGATCCGTCAAAAAATTGACACCCTGCAGACTCGACGAAAAGGCATAGGACTCCTGTACCAAATCATAACAAGGTGTGATAGTGATATCTTCAAAAATCGGCGCATATGGCTGAGCTATCAGAGAATCAAATGTTTGTTCCATCTGCGCAGCCGGCGCAACTTTTGATGACAAGGATGTATTACATTCATCTTTTGATGCGTACGGATGCGCGTTCAAATACTGAAGACCCAATAAAGGCGTTCGCACGATATCTCCCGTATCAGGTGGCCCTGTAGATCCTTGTCAGTCTATATAACACTAAGAGCGCGTTAATATTACCGTTAAATTCTTCCCCAATAACCCTGGAGTCATTATCTTCGCGCGTCTCATTTGTTTTCGGCATTTTGGACGGACCGCTCGCCCGGCCATCGAAAACACGTTTCTTGGACTGTCTGCTCTGACGAGGTTCGCTTTTGACCAGTGAACCAAGCCTTTCAGCGGACACTCTTCTAAGCTGGGTGCATCGTTCCTTTCTATAGCACTCTTTAGCTTCATCATTCCCGTCTTGGTTTGGGCATCTGTGTCGTATGTATTTTCGCGCTTGTTGAAATGATTGACGGCAATATATGCAAATTTCGTTGCATAGAACATCTATAAGAAATTATCAGCATATATGGTCAGTGGTATGGTCCAATTACATACGTGATTGGAAATGGCGTTCGAGATCCGCTTTTCTCCCAAACCCAGTCTTATCGAGACATCCTGAGTGGGGGCACTTCATTGGAGTATGATGAGTATCCTGTCCATTTTGCACTCTGCTATAAGCCTTGTCTTCATCTTCGCTATCTTGCAAGAACTCCAACGAATCCACGCTCTCATTCTCCTCGTTTTCAGCGTCCAGATCACTGACAAAACAATCTGCTTCGTAGTCCTCTAAGCGCCGAGTTCTACCTTCCAGTGAGTAGTGTTCGCGTGGTAAATGAGCTTGCACTTCAAGTAACCTTGCGATCAAAGACTGTGCTTCCAACTGTTCCGCAGGTCAGCGCCCGAATTCTAAAGTGGTATGTCATTACTAGCCTGGTAATCCGCGATATGGTGGCGGAGCTCCTCATGCGTTTTGAACTTATTGAAACACGTCTGGCACCTCAGGCTATTGGATTTATCTTTTCTTTCAGGGCGCTTACTGGGGTCGACCGTGACAAAACGAGTGTTATGCGGCGGCATCTCGTTGCGGATGTGGAGAAATACGAGAATGTCATCAGGCGGAGACTAAAACCAGTAATTACCCAGGAGGCGGTGCACCGAAAAGGGTGGGGTTGGGTATCGAAGGGGGGGGGGGAAAGGGGGGTATAAATGTACCCTTCCCTTTCTCCTATTATCGTCCAGTCATCAGCAATCAGCAAAGAAATCTCCTATTCTGCGGCAAAAGAATTTCTACCTTACTCTAGTTACCAAAAGAGCAGAGTATCATAAGAAGCACCAAGAAAACATGCCCCCTTGTTCAGAGTGTAACGATACCCGGAATGGTCGGCAAATCTATATGCCCCAAGTGCAATGGATACGGAGGGAAAAAAAGAGCTCAGTACGTGTGAGTGTGAGGTGCAAATGTTGCTTTCTAAAGACCAACAAAAGAATCTTTAGGGTCGCCGAACGGTCGGGGGGGGAAGGATGCGGGGAGATGGGAAGTACCATCAAGATCAAGTGACCAGGATAAGGTGGCGTGAGCTGCAAGCTACGGTCTAAATGCTCTAGCGTCTTTAAGTCAATCATTGCTCCTCTCTCTATTTGACTCACTTAGCTCATTGGCACCGTGAAAGCATGCACCGCAAGACAAGTAGCTGTACAGTTTCCGAACCATTTTTGTATTTTAGCGCCGCCCCAAAACTGCAATTCCAATGATAATGACAGTGTTTGGTTCTGGTTGCATGGCGATATGTGACTGTAAAAGGATAATATTCAATTTCTGTTCACTTCCTAAAGTAGTAGTAGCACAAAGAGAGGTTATGCCCTTTTCAAGATTAGTATAGGTATGTGTCGAACGTGGATTGGCTCCTCTTGAAGATCAGCTGCCACAAAATACGTCCTGAGCCAATCAGCGCGCGCCTGAGCGCAGACGTGTTGTAAGCCATTTCGGGGAACCTTCCCAAGGCCATGTCTGCGTTGGAAGGCTGTAAAAAGGAGGCGACCCAGTATCGGCCGGAAAAACAATATTCCATGTTGGCCCAACAGCGACAGCCATGAGAGGACGGGCCCCCCAGGCAGCCTATCCACGGTGCTCAATCTACCGCAAACGAGTGATTATTGTTAAACAGAAGCAGGGAAGGGCCAGGAAAGGCCTGACAAGCGTTAAAGGCCAATCCTATTACAAAATAGCTTAATTGAAGTCTGGTCATCGACCATTTCTTTGCCGACTGTCTAAAACGGACAGCCAGAACTCGATGTCATGTTTATCTTCTCTTACCCTCGGCTCACCTGTTTCTACCTATCTTTATCGCGAGTCTTATTAGCTCATCTTCTTATCTATACAGACTTCGGAAGAGTTATATAAAGATGATGGCCTTCTTGATATACAAAAAGACAGTCCTTCTTAGACCTCGCCACGACCCGCGGGTCTACCCCAAACGGGGTACCCATTACCCATTTCTTGGCGGGTAATGGGTAGGGTTTGCCTACCCGCGTGCGGGTAGTGGGAAGCTGGTTAATACCCATGGGTATTTTCTGGGTACCCGCGGGTAGTCAAACAATACAAACAGGTGGGACCCCGTGACTTGTATATTTTATGCATATTCGAGCTGTAATTTTGAGTATTTCATATACAACTACCAGTCAAGATTCAAGAGATTTCTCAGTATTAAAGAGGTTAAAACAAGGTCAATTTGATTCTATAGCTAATACTCAATAAACTGATCATCATCCCGTCTCCGCTTCCGACTTCTACCTGAAATCCGTTGTTGAGTCTCTGGGAGAGGATTTGTAGCTTCATCGTCAGATAAAGCTTCATGAGAAGGGCCCTGGGTAGTATCTGGCTCTTGTATGACCTCTATATCCTCCTCTTCATTATCACTGATAGGATCAATATCCTGTAGTGACTGAGGACTTTTCTCTTCTCTCTCTGTCTCAATCTCCCCACTTGTAAGATACTCCTTCTTAAGAGTAAGGTTGTCATCTTCAAGCTCAAATTTTGTTGCGAACCTATACATCATGAGCTCCTGGATAGTTTCAGATCTTAGAGAGCCTCGACGGTAATGACAGATGTCCCGAGCAGAGTTAAAGAGACGCTCAACCCCTGCACCTGTAGCAGGAATTGTAAGAATATCCCGTGCAAGGCTTGCGAGAGCAGGAAATTCATGTTGATGGTCTTTCCAGAACGCTCGAATGGTTACTCCAGTGATAGTACCTAATATTTATTAATAAAACACACAATAAACCAAGATAATACTGACCAGATTCAAGATATCTTGAAAGCTCATCCCGCTCAGTTAAGCTTGTTTGCTGAGATTCAGACTCTCTAAGCATCCGTTCAAGATCAAACTCCGAGGTCTGTGTTGTGGATATATGAGACTCTAGTAATGTCTGGTTCTGTAACAGACGTTGCTTATAAGACTCAAAGTAATCCACAAAGCTTTGGCGATATCGATCACGCCACTCATCGCCCCAATCTTTTCCTAGAAAAAACTGGAGCTTATTCTGCGGTGCAAGCATTGTTCCAATAGCAAAGAGGTCTCCAGGAACGCCATCTGTCTTGCTATAATATTGGGAAAGCTTTGTCTTCGCCACATAAAGCGCATTTAGCATCATCTTCTTCCAAGGTACCTTTTTGTATCTAAGCTGGTTGATCGACTTCTCAAGATGATCAAAAAGCTTATTATAGATACCAAAGATCAGATGTATGGTAACATCCTTTGTTTTCGAAAGCGCATTCGTGAATTGGAAGAAAGGTTGAGTGATATAAAGGAGGTAGTCGATCTGACGCCATTGCTCTTGATCAAGCTTCAAATGCGAATGTCCATATTTAGTACAGAACTCGTCAAAGACAGACTGTAATCGCTTGGCACGTCGGAGCATAAGAAAGGTCGAGTTCCAGCGTGTTCGAACATCTTGAATTGGCACAAGAGGTATTGAGGTTGTTTGAAGCTTAGAAAACAGCTCGAGACGTTGAGGGCTAGCATTGATAAAAACAGCTAAGCCTCGTATCTATATATAATTAAATAAGTTGATAGTTTTTATATCTGAAGAGATAAACTTACCTTATTCAGTGTGTCAACAATCTCTCGTTTTTGTTGCCTTGAGCGGATCAATTGATCTTGGGTTTCAGACCACTGCATTTCAGCTATATCGTTCTTTGGATTTGCCTTCATTTGCCCAAGAAGCTGCTTCAGACTAAGTTGAATGACGTGGGCTAGACAGGGAACCTTGATGATCGTAGTATGATCGCTAATCTCAAGAGACTGGATAGAATCCTGGATACTCGACATCATAGTGCTATTATTTGATGCATTATCAGTAGTAATTGCAAGCACTCTGTCTGTGATCTGGTGTTTTTGAAGAAGTTCAAGAAGGACAGCACTTAGATTGACACCCGAGTGTGTTCCATGAAGTGGTTCAAAGCCAAGCAGTATCTCCCGATAGTTCCAATCTTCATCAAGAAAATAACCAGTTACTGCCATAAATGCTTGCTGGAATGGAGATGTCCAGCAATCAAGGGCAATTGATAGCTTACCATCTTTAGGTAGCTTTTGGAGGATAGTATTCTGGTACTCAGTGATCGTGCCTTGAAGTCGACGTCGAACTGTTTTCGCAGATGGGATTTGTGGACGCATTGGGGCACGGGAGGCCATGTAAATCAACTGATGAAAGTCGGGGTGTTCGAGGATTTGGAATGGTAGCCGGGAATCAGTAATGAAACGAAGTAAACTTGCTTCCCAAGCCTCTTGAGTAAAACTGAGACTATCTGAAGCTGGTGTAGCCTATATTAGAAAGATATTAGTAAAAAGATATCATAA